TAAAAAGTAATAATTTTAAATATGTCTTGTATGTATTGTTTTAATTATTTATATGCTAGTTTATTTTTTTATGCTTAATATAATAAATGACAAAATATGAAATTCAGAATAATTGTTAAGAGTTAACAAATTTTTAAAAGTATAATATATTGATATAAAGCCTGGACTAAGGCCCGCAAATTAGGGGATATGGGCTTCGACTCTCATTAAAAATTTTTAGTTAAGCCCCCTAAGATTGTAAATGCTAGCGACGCCCCAGCCTGTAAGGCATTAATTATATTTTCCAGATCATCCAAAAAGGGTAATCTGTCTCTCCTATATGGGGGTGCGTATATATTTACTAGAATAGTTGGTCTAAAATTTGTGTTAACATATAATAAACCACATCTTTCAGAAATTGGTACAAATTTAACTATATAGCTTTTTTTTGTTAATCAGAAAGCCAACACCGGACTACTAAGTATTACCAGAGCAGTATAAGATGAAGTGGTTGGGTATTTTCCTGACTATGGGTTTCCTGTAAAGCAATAAAGCCATTTTCTCATGTCATAAGTTTCACTAAAATAGCAAGTTTATCACGTAGACCGTTTATATTCAAAGAAGATATAAGTAATTGACTTTTAAGTTTATGCATGGCTCTACTAAATTGTATTGACTTGAGTTTAAGGAGATTCCATAGGAGGTTTATTTAATTATACTTAGTGATTTAAAAGTTCTTTGCATAATTAATAATTTAAGAGGGATGATATCATTCAGCCTGATCCGACTAGTCAAGAGGGAGAAAATTTTACTTATCAGTTTCGTCAATTCTAAGGTAATAAATATAACCATTAAAGTGAAACTAGTTATCAAATATGAGAATAACTATTTGTATCAGTCGTGAAAAAGAGAAGAAACTAATCACAGAGAATATTTTATAGGGGACAAAATTGTTAAGGAACAGATAAGATAGCTATACTTTAATCTTAGAGAACATTGGATCACATAGAGAAGCACCAATAAAGAAAAAAATAAAGTCAAACTAATAATAATTAAAAAAAACAATAGATTCTGAGAAGATAGAGACCTTTTAGAAAAATTTAAGAGGACCAAACAGGGGAAGAAAAATACGAAAGGAATTACATTAAAGGAAAGCATAAGTAATAATATATTAACCTCTATTTCGATGTATTGGCTAGGATCCGAGTAAGTAAACAACGATAGAAAATAATTTTACAATAAAATTTAAGAATTAAAATTTTAGCGGAAAATATGAGAAAAAGTATTAAATTTTAATAATATTATTTCCGTTTAATAAAAGGTATTATTCATTAGAAAATAAATAAATAAAACATGGAAGACATTCATTAGAAAATAAATAAATAAAACATGAAAGGCTTTCATGTTCTTAATTTCTTCCAAAACAATTAATTTTCCACTTATTGTATTATTTAAATTGTTTACAAATTTACATGTTTATTTTAAAAGAAAAATCCAAACGAGAATCTAGAAAGAAAATAATAATAAATAAAAAAATAAAGGAAAGGAAAGGAAAGGAAAGGAAAGGAAAGGAAATAATATCAATTCATAATAAAAGGAGGAAATAATTTTTCAAAATGGTAGCAAAAAATATTATCAAAATGGTAGCAAAAATAAAATGAAGAAAATAATGTAAATTTAGTAAAAAATGGAGGGCATAATTTAAATTAGTAAAAGGTAGCAAAAAATAAAGTGAGGGAAATAATGTAATATTTTAATAACAAAATAGAGGAAATAACTTAAATTAGTAACAAAAGCATCTTAGTAAAAGGGGGATTTAGAAAAATGCAGTATTTTAAAGAGGGTGAGAGGGTGAAAGGGAGAAGAGAGAAGATAAATTCAGGTTAAAGGTTCAATGCCTAAACGAAAATGACTAGAAATAATCAAATGCACGGTAAACTAATCCTAAATATATATCTTCAGACAAATCTAGTCTCAAAAATCTAATGTAAATAAGATAATTTCTAGTAAAAAGGCTTAATGCATAAGCATAAAATGCTAATGATATTAATGATTGTTGATTAGTCTTATATTTTAAATTTGAATATTTATTTATTTTTAAAATATATTAACGTTATATCATTTGAATATCTTATATTATTTAAATTGATTGTTTAATATATTCAATTAACTTTGTTTGATATTTTTTGTATAAATAGATTGTGATAGAAAAAAGAAGTTAGTTAAAATTTAAATTTATATTACTAAAACAAATTTGCTTAACTCTACTTAAAATGGTGCCCCGGTTACGGTGGTACGTTTCTTCGTTTTTTTTTTAAAAAAAAAAAATATATAATAAAAGTTTAAAAATTAAAATTATATCCTTACCTTGAAAATAAAATAATCAAAGAATTTATCCGTTTTTTTTGTCGATTTCTTTTGTAAAAATAAAAAGTAAAGGAATTACTTATCAAATTCGTCGTTCGATATTGGAGATGATAAAAGGACATATAAAATTTTTTTGACTTTTCTTTTCGATAGTCAAAATTTTATCCAAATTTACAAAATTATAATAGGTAAAAAAAAAAAGAGAAAATAAAATATATATATATATATAAATAAAAAGAGTAATATGATAAAAATAGTTTTTTCATCGGAATCTTTGCATTTCTACGTTATGATGTTTTGTTTTAAAGCTTATAATACCTCAGTGCATAATTATCGATAAAATGTTGAAGGAAATGGGAGGATGTAATGAATTCTCTTATGTCCGAAATAATAGAATGAATGAAATTTTCTTTTATTTTAAGTCCTTACGAAAAATGATTGATACCTATATGTCTCTAAATGGGAAGCCCTATGTTTTTGATGAAAATAATTTCATTTTTATATCTTGTGCAATTACGGAATATTAAAATTTAAATATTAAAACTTAAATATCTTTACGCTTTACATATTTGATGTACTACATTTATTGGACATAGAAAAATTTTTATTAGCTATTGTCCCTATATTACGTTATTTTGTAATTTTTCTCGCAATTATAAAAAAAAAGTAAAAATTTTTTTTACGCGCTTAGCAGATCACAGTTTATAGGTTATTAATAAAATTTTCTAACGATATTAAAGTAATATGAAATTCTTTGTGACGAATCAAGTTTAGATATTTATAGATAATTCAAATTAAAACTTAGTGGACTAAATCCTCTTTACGAATTAGAATTAAATTTTTCACAGACAAATTATATTGAAACTTAGTGGATTAAATCCTCTTTACGAATTTGAATTAGAATTTATATAGATAAACTATTGAAACTTAGTGGACCACATTCTCTTGATTAAAATTAAAATTTTTTAGACAACTTAAATTTGATTTTAATGGACTACAATGTTTTGCTTTTACGATTTTAAAAATTGAAAGTTTACTTTATTTAAATAAAATTTTATAATGAACGAAAAATTAACTCTTACACACACTCAATATGTTCCTAAATTTCCCAAGTTATCAGGAAAATTATCTGAGACTTATCTTAACTTAATTGAAACATACTTTGAGGGACATATTGAGTCAGACTCATCTAAAGTTAGGACACTATTATGTAGCTTACCAATTGAGATTGTAGACCAAGTTACGTCGATATGTTCTAAAGCACAGTTAAAAGACTTTAATATTGTTTTTGGTAAATTGAAACTAATAATTCCAAGTGAGGACATGAATGTTAATATAAAAAACTTTAACTTAGCGGTACAGGGTGCCGATGAGTCCTTCCATACTTTTTATTTTAGGATTTCAAAACTTCATAAAAAATGCGATTTTGATAACGATACGAGAATGATTGAGAAATTAATAACTTGTTCTTTAAATGATAATATCAGAAGGAAGTTAAATAAACATAAGCACGAAGGCTTAGATAAGATGATGAAATTAGGAGTTGAGTTAGATGGCAGCAATATTAAGCCGGAGATTAGCGATACAAATTATCTATATTATAATTTTCCGATGTCCTCACTACGTCATTGTGACGTCATGTCATCGCTACGTCATGTCATCGCTACGTCATGTCATCGCTACGTCATGTCATCGCTACGTCATGTCATTATTACGTCATGTCATTGTGACGTCATGTCATCGCTACGTCATGTCATCATTACGTCATGTCATCGGTACGTATTTATTTATTTATTTTTTATTTGTTGATTTTTTTATAAACAGATGTTCATACCAAATTCTGAAATCAGAAGAAGTAATTTATTTGTTGATTTTTTATGAGACTATCATTTTCCTTGACTGAAATCGGAGTGCCAGATACCAATTTTTAGAGATTATCATTTTATTTGAATTCCTGAAATCAGAAGAAGTAATATATTATAATTTTCCGATGTCCTCACTACGTCATTGTGACGTCATGTCATCGCTACGTCATGTCATCATTACGTCATGTCATCGGTACGTATTTATTTATTTATTTTTTATTTGTTGATTTTTTTATAAACAGATGTTCATACCAAATTCTGAAATCAGAAGAAGTAATTTATTTGTTGATTTTTTATGAGAGTATCATTTTCCTTGACTGAAATCGGAGTGCCAGATACCAATTTTTAGAGATTATCATTTTATTTGAATTCCTGAAATCAGAAGAAGTAATTTATTTGTTCATTTTTTATGATCATATCTATTTTTAGCTTATGATGGATGATATTCCCACTATTTCTAAAGAGGTTAACCTAATATTGATTCTATTTTTTATTTATTCTTTTGTTTTTATTTTAGATCATGTTCATTGCATTTATATTCTTTATATTATTCTTTGTTTTTATTTTAGATAACAAGCCCTGTCTTACCCATATTTAATTATTGTACAGGTGGTATATTGACTCCTCATCAAGTTCAATGCATTTATTTTTTAAATTTATTCTTTTGTTTCTATTTTAGATAACAAGCCATGTCTTACCCATATTTAATGATTGTACAGGTGGTATATTGACTCCACATCAAGTTCAATGCATTTATTTTTTTTATTTATTCTTTTGTTTCTATTTTAGATAACAAGCCATGTCCTAACCTCAGTTAATGATTGTATTCCCACTATTTCTAGAGAGGTTAACCTAATATTGACTCTATTTTTTATTTATTCTTTTGTTTTTATTATTCTTTGTTTTTATTTTAGATAACAAGCCCTGTCTTACCCATATTTAATGATTGTACAGGTGGTATATTGACTCCTCATCATGTTCAATGCATTTATTTTTTTTATTTATTCTTTTGTTTCTATTTTAGATAACAAGCCATGTCCTAACCTCAGTTAATGATTGTATTCCCACTATTTCTAGAGAGGTTAACCTAATATTGACTCTATTTTTTATTTATTCTTTTGTTTTTATTTTAGATCATGTTCATTGCATTTATATTCTTTATATTATTCTTTGTTTTTATTTTAGATAACAAGCCCTGTCTTACCCATATTTAATGATTGTACAGGTGGTATATTGACTCATCAAGTTCTATGCATTTATTTTTTTTATTTATTCTTTTGTTTCTATTTTAGATAACAAGCCATGTCCTAACCTCAATTAATGATTGTACAGGTGGTGTTTTATCTTTCATTAATAAAAGAAAAAGATGGCAGATCAATCAAAAAAAGAAACGCACTAGGGATAGCGAGGCCCTACAAAATCTACTAACAACTCAAAATAAAGTTAGCATTATATATATATATTTTTTTATACTCTTTTATATTATAGAATACATCTATTTTAGCTTCTGATAATGGCCCAACTATTTCTAGGGAGTTGAACCTAATATTGACTCCTCTTCAGGTTCATTGCATTTATATTCTTTATATTATTCTTTGTTTTTATTTTGAAAACAAGCCCTGTCTTACCCATATTTAATGATTGTACAGGTGGTATATTGACTCCTAATCAAGTTCAATGCATTTATTTTTTTTATTTATTCTTTTGTTTTTATATTCTTTATATTATTCTTTGTTTTTATTTTAGATAACAAGCCCTGTCTTACCCATATTTAATGATTGTACAGGTGGTATATTGACTCCTCATCAAGTTCATAGCATTTATTTTTTTTTTATTCTTTTGTTTCTATTTTAGATAACAATCCATGTCCTAACCTCAGTTAATGATTGTATTCCCACTATTTCTAGAGAGGTTAACCTAATATTGACTCTATTTTTTATTTATTCTTTTGTTTTTATTCTAGATCATGTTCATTGCATTTATATTCTTTATATTATTCTTTGTTTTTATTTTAGATAACAAGCCCTGTCTTACCCATATTTAATGATTGTACAGGTGATATATTGACTCCTCATCAAGTTCAATGCATTTATTTTTTTTATTTATTCTTTTGTTTCTATTTTAGATAACAAGCCATGTCCTTACCTCAGTTAATGATTGTACAGGTGGTGATTTATCCTTCATTAATAAAAGAAAAAGATGGCAGATCAATCAAAAAAAGAAACGCACTAGAGATAGCGAGGCCCTACTAAATCTACTAACAACTCAAAATAAAGTTAGCCTTATATATATATTTTTTTATACTCTTTTATATTATAGAATACATCTATTTTAGCTTCTGATAATGTCCCCACTATATCTAGGGAGTTGAACCTATTATTGACTCCTCTTCAGATTCATTGCATTTATATTCTTTATATTATTCTTTGTTTTTATTTTAGATAACAAGCCCTGTCTTACCCTCATTTAAGGATTGTACAGGTGGTATATTGACTCCTCATCAAGTTCAATGCATTTATTTTTTTTTATTTATTCTTTTGTTTCTATATATATTTTTTTTTACTCTTTTATATTATAGAATACATCTATTTTAGCTTCTGATAATGTCCCAACTATTTCTAGGGAGTTGAACCTAATATTGACTCCTCTTCAGGTTCATTGCATTTATATTCTTTATATTATTCTTTGTTTTTATTTTAGATAACAAGCCCTGTCTTACCCTCATTTAATGATTGTTCAGGTGGTATATTGACTCCTCATCAAGTTCAATGCATTTATTTTTTTTATTTATTCTTTTGTTTTTGACTCCTCTTCAGGTTCATTGCATTTATATTCTTTATATTATTCTTTGTTTTTATTTTAGATAACAAGCCCTGTCTTACCCTCATTTAATGATTGTACAGGTGGTATATAGACTCCTCATCAAGTTCAATGCATTTATTTTTTTTATTTATTCTTTTGTTTCTATTTTAGATAACAAGCCATGTCCTAACCCCAGTTAATGATTGTACAGGTGGTGATTTATCCGTCATTAATAAAAGAAAAAGATGGCTGATCAATCAAAAAAAGAAACGCACTAGGGATAGCGAGGCCCTACAAAATCTACTAACAACTCAAAATAAAGTTAGCCTTATATATATATTTTTTTATACTCTTTTATATTATAGAATACATCTATTTTAGCTTCTGATAATGTCCCCACTATTTCTAGGGAGTTGAATCTAATACTGACTCCTCTTCAGGTTCATTGCATTTATATTCTTAATATTATTCTTTGTTTTTATTTTAGATAACAAGCCCTGTCTTACCCTCATTTAATGATTGTACAGGTGGTATATTGACTCCTCATCAAGTTCAATGAATTTATTTTTTTATTTATTCTTTTGTTTTTATTTTAGATAACAAGCCATGTCCTAACCTCAGTTATTGATTGTACAGGTGGTGATTTATCCATCATTAATGAAAGAAAAAGATGGCAGATCAATCAAAAAAAGAAACGCACTAGGGATAGCGAAGCCCTACAAAATCTACTAACAACTCAAAATAAAGTTAGCCTTATATATATTTTTTTTATACTCTTTTATATTATAGAATACATCTATTTTAGCTTCTGATAATGTCCCCACTTAGGGAGTTGAACCTTATATTGACTCCTTTTCAGGTTCAATGCATTTATATTTTTTAATTATTCTTCTGTTTTTATTTTAGATAACAAACCCTTCTTTATTTCCTCCTTATAATTGTTTAAATAATGATATATCTACCATTAATAATCAACAAATAAAAAATAAATGTTCAGAAAACACAATAGTCTTGGCAAGTCCCCAACTAGACAAATTTTATTTTTTGATGATAGCCTCCCAACTACTAGAGATATGCATATATTGACCCCTTTACAGGTTCAGTACAGTATTTTAATGTTCGTTTTATTTCAATAATAATGTATTATATTTATGCCTGATTTCCTAATTTATTTTAGGTTAACCCAAACTTAATCCCTCACTTAGCTACAAAACATGATATTTCTATTAAAGATAAGCAAAGAAAAAAATGGCGACTCAACAAACGCCTTACCCGTTCTAGAATTACAGGTATGCAGGATAATAAGGACCTACGCCTGATATTAACTCCCTTGCAGATTTTTAATGTTTTATATATATCGGTTTATTTTATAATCACCCAGATACCGTCAACTGATATTTTTATGGTTAATGATGCTTACTACCAAGTGAATGTATGGAAATATTCTAAATACCAACATAATTTGCTAAATACCGACCAAAATTTATTAAAATGTAATAAGACTTATTATTTAATATTTTAATATGGAATCACGTGGTCGAGTCCGGCCTCCTATATATCATACCCCCAAGGATGAAACCACCATGTTAGAATAAGAAAAAAAACATAATTATTATCGGGATTCGAACCCGTGACCATGGGATGAGTAAGCGAAGCTCTAACCGACTAGGCCATAGATGCTTTCCAAAAATTACGATTTTTCAAATATATATTATAAATATATTTGGTAGTGCCTATTCAAATGAAAATAAACAAAATTCAAATTTGATAGATGGTACCTTAAGGTACCAAGCATCATTAACCTATTTTTATAACCACTACCACATTCCCTATGGCACCTCTACCATGTATATTTCGACATATATTTGATGACCACCACTCACCTATATTAGATATCGGAAATATGACAGAAATATGCGCCTTCTGCAATGCTAAAATGTGGAATGGAGAAAAATTATCAAAAAGCTCATGTAGAAATATTCAGTTTTCTACATGTTGTTTGAATGGGAAGGTATTTTTATCTAAAATTTTCCAATTACCACCAAATTATTACGTTTATTTACCGGGAATCATTGTTCATCATCCCACTTTTTAACAAACATAAGAGCTTATAATTCCGCACTGTCATTCACTTCACTAGGAGTTAATATAAATAATAATTTATCCAATTCGCGATCAGGTAATTATACCTTTCAAATTAATGGACAGGTTCATCATCGCATTCACTCCTACCAACATTAGGGGAAACTCCTAAATTTGCCCAATTATATATACATGATAGTATAAATGAGATAGAAAACAGACATAACCAGGTTCCGTTTTTAGATCGTTGTCTTTTAATGGAATTGCAGGATATTGTTCACACCTACAACCCCTTTGCTTCTCAATTTTTGAGAGTATCTTCTATGATCGCTACTGGCGTTCCTAACATATCCTTAAACTTAAAATCTACTCCAAGTTTTGACGTACGTTATCGCAATAAACATACCTCATCTGAAATAGCAGTATTATTACCTGGTGATGGCAGTGATCATATAGCCCATAGAGATATTATCTTAAAAACTCTATCTGGTCCTTTAAGACGTATTAATGAGCTCCATTCCTCATACGATCCCTTGCAATATGTTCTTCTATTTCCCAGAGGCGATATTGGATACCACCCACCCATTCATTATAGAAACTCAACTAATAAATATGTTACCTGCAGAGAGTACTATGCCTATCGCTTTATGGTCAGGCAGGATGAAGAGAATGTTATTTTAAGATCCAAACGTCTTTTTCACCAATTTATCGTCGACAGTTATGCCAAACAGGAAACGCTTCGATTAAATTTTATACGTAATAATCAATCCAAATTACGCGCCGAACTCTATCAAGGCATACATGATGCTATTTTAGAGGGAGATACTAATGCTGACAATCTTGGCAGAAGAATAATTTTGCCTTCTTCTTTTACCGGTGGCCCAAGGCATATGCATCAGCTTTATCAGGACGCAATGGCTATTGTACGCTGCTTTGGTAAGCCATCATTATTCATTACTTTCACCTGCAACCCTAAATGGATTGAAATAATGCTTGAATTATTTACTCATCAGACCCCAAACGACCGCCCAGATTGAGTTTGTCGCGTTTTTCGTCAAAAATTAAAATGTCTAAAAAAGGATTTGCTCTATTATCATGTTCTTGGCAAAGTAATCGCTTATATAGATGTCATAGAATTCCAGAAAAGAGGTTTGCCTTATTGTCATATGTGCCTTATACTAGATAAATCTCATAGGCTACCAACGGCTGATGCTTATGATGATGTAGTTTGTTCTGAAATTCCTAACAAAATAACTGAGCCTAAGCTGTTTCAAATTATTAGCAATTTTAATACACATGGGCCATGTGGTATAACATTTCCTAATAGTCCCTGCATGATTGATGGAAAATGCTCAAAAAAATATCCTAAATCATTTGTGGATACCTCTTCTATTGATAAGTATGGTTATCCTTTATATAGGCGACGAAATGATGGCATTACCTTCCAAAAAAAATTAAACGGATTTATATTTAACAACCGTTGGATTATTCCTTATAATAAACATTTATCAAAAAAATATAATGCACATATAAATGTAGAAATTTGTTCATCTGTCCAGTCCATAAAATACCTTTATAAGTATTGTTACAAAGGCCATGACAGAACTACTGCTTCCGTTTCCATTAATAATGTTGATGAAACTACCCAGTTCATTGATGCTCGATATATATCCGCCATAGAATCGCTATGGCGTACTTTGGATTTTGAAATGCAGGATCATTCTCCTGCAGTCTATCGTTTAGACCTTCATCTACCCAATCAACATATAATCCTTTTCAATCAAATACTGATATAAATAATATCTTAACTAAAAATCCTGGTACAAAATTAACCGAATGGTTTAAAATTAATCAACTTGACACAGATGCCAGACATTATATTTATGCAGATTTTGTAAGATATTATGTGTGGAAACCTCTATCTAAACAGTGGTTAAAACGAAAAAGGGGTGGTAATAAAGTTATAGGCCGTATACGCACAGTTTCTCCTAAAGAGGGTGAGGTTTTTTATTTAAGACTAAAAGTTTAATGGAAGGCAACAAATAAGTTTTTAAATATTTTATCACATAATACTTTATTACTAAATTTTATATTTTTTAACATGTATTTATATCAATTCACAATCAATTAACCTAAAAATGTTAATGCTAAAAATGGTTAATTTAATAATAATAACCAATTAATGTATGAATGTATATAAAAAACAAATTTAATGATTCTAAATATTGTCCATCTCTAACATTCCACCCTCCAAAGAAATCCAGCCTAGGTCTCTTTGAGTGCCGAAAAATCGTCCCGATGTTCTTGATTTTTTACTATTATTATCGTTTCATATGTCACTCTGCTTTTATCTTTTAGCGTTGTCTTGCTTTTGTCACGTTTTATCGTTGGCTTGTTTTCACCTCGTTGGTTTGTTATTAACGTTTCGTCTCTTTGCTTATTTATTTTTGTTCACCTTCCATTATTATCATTTTTTTTTATTATTATTTTTCAAATCATTATCATTATTATTAGTTAATCAAGAATAATTAGGAATCATAAGAATAGATCCAATTGAATATAAGAATCGATCCAATTGAATATAATCATCATTTAGAAAATAATATTGAATTTGTAAGAATGTATAAAGAATCGCGTTTTAATGTTTTTTTTTTATTTGTGTCGCGTTTTATACAATTTTTTATATTATTTATTTTGCGTTTTATATCGTTTTTTTTTATTTATAATGTTTTATATCATTTTTTATTTATTTATATATTTTTTGTTTATTTTTATTTTACATTAAGTTTTATATAGTTTTTTTTATATTTATTTATTTTTTTTGTTTATTTTTATATGTCAAAAAATAATTTTCCATTGATAAAGTCAAAATTAAAGATTTAAATGAGAGATATTATTAATCATATCTTTTTTTATAACTTCTCCCTCCTTAAAACTTTAAGAGATTTTTAAATTTAAATCCTTTCATCTTAAGTATAAATAAGATTTCAGTTCCTACAATTACTTTTTTTACTATAAATCGTGGATTCTATTTTATTTAAAGTTTTCCATATAGAGATTTCATCTATTTCATTTGTGTTACTTGTTATATTTGTATCATCAGAGTTTTCTTTATTTAAAATTTCATAGTTATTAAAGTCATTATACTGAAAATTTTCATTAGTTGACATTTCATTGTCTTTATAATCATCACAATAATTATTTTCACATTTTGAATTTATTATAAGAGTTTCCTTAATATTAATGTTTTCTCTAATATTAGTATCATCGACTTTTATAGACATTTCATTGTCTTTATAATCATCACAATAATTATTTTCACATTTTGAATTTATTATAAGAGTTTCTTTAATTTTAATGTTTTCTCTAATATTAGTATCATCGACTTTTATAGACATTTCATTGTCTTTATAATCATCACAATAATTATTTTCACATTTTGAATTTATTATAAGAGTTTCTTTAATTTTAATGTTTTCTCTAATATTGTATCATCAACTTTTATATTTGCTCTTACTTTATAGTTACATAATAATTTCAATATTGTAATAGCTTCCTCAAAAGTTGAATCTCTGTCTCTTGGTTCAAATGCCTTCATCTTTACATATAGATGATCAGGCAGTTTATAAATTAATATTCTGCTGCTATTTCTAACTTCATTAATTAAAAAAAAATTTCTACTTCGTCAATATAATTACTTATATTGTCTTCACTTCAAATAGGATAATTCATATTAATTAAATTTTAATTTATTTCAAAAAAAAATTTTAAGTTCATCAAACATGTACTTTATTTTATAATTATTTTTATTTGTGCTTATAATTATATCATCTTTTTTTCTTTTTTATTTCAAATGGTTTCATTGCTAATTTTATTTTAAATGGTTTCATTGCTAATTTGTAATTTCTTACATGATATCCAATAGAATTTATAATCTTTCAGAATTCTTTGATATTTAACTTGATATTTATTTCATTTAGAGTAATCCAATGTCCATTTCCACCATTCCAGTGTCCATTGATACTTTTTCCGCTGCAGTTGATTGATCCATTTGATCTAATTTATATTTTATTTTTTGAAAATAAATTAATTTAATTTAAAATCGTAGATCCCTCCGCTGCCACCATAAAAGTTTAATGGAAGGCAACAAATAAGTTTTTAAATATTTTATCACATAATACTTTATTACTAAATTTTATATTTTTCTAACATGTATTTATATCAATTCACAATCAATTAACCTAAAAATATTAATGCTAAAAATGGTTAATTTAATAATAATAACAAATTAATGTATGAATGTATATAAAAAACAAATTTAATGATTCTAAATATTGTCCATCTCTAACAAAGACTATTACTTAATTATGTTACTGGGACTACACGCTTTGAAGATCTATGCTCTTTTAATGGAATTATCAGTAACACTTTTAAAGATGCATGTATTCGACGTGGTCTGTTATCAGATGATGCGGAATGGAACCATTGTTTAGAGAAAGGTCTTTCATTTAAGATGCCATATCAATTGCGCCAGTTATTTTCTGTTATTTTATTACATTGTGAGCCGAGAAATCCTCTAGGTCTATGGAATTCTTTTAAATTTTATCTATGTAAAGATTTTTCCAAGAAAATATCACCAGAGCCGGATAACCTTATCACCGAAAATCTCGCGCTATGCCACATCAATCAAATTTTGATTTAAAATGGTAAATCTCTTAAGGATTTTTTGGGAATGCCTATCCCTTTATTATCCACCCAATCTCCATCTGCTACAGCTAATATTAGGTGTCACCTTATTCGGGAGGAAATTTCCTACGATACTGATGATATGTATAAAAAATATTTGGCTAACTACAATTAATTTAATCGGGATCAAAATATTATCTATGCCAAAATTATGTCCTTGCGCTCCACTCCACTCCATCCCATAATTTATTTTTTATAGATGGTCCTGGTGGTACTGGAAAATCATTTCTATTAAATACAATATTATTTAACTTGAGAGCTCAAGGTAAAATTGCTATAGCTGTTGCATCTTCTGGCATAGCTTCAACTCTTCTTCATAATGGCCGTACTGCACATTCACGTTTCAACATCCCCTTAAGTATTCCTAAAAGTTCCTCATGTAATATTCCTTACCAAAGCCAAAATAGCTGAATTGATAAGACAATCGGTAATTATAATATGGGACGAAATATCAATGACTCATAAACATATATTCGAGGCCGTGGATAGGTCATTTCAGGATATAATGAAATTAGACAAACCGTTTGGTGGTAAAATTATTATTTTTGGCGGAGATTTTAGACAGATTTTACCTGTTATTAAACGTGGTGGAAGATGCGACATTACTCAACCTTAAAACGATCCTATTTATGGTCACATGTAGTGCCATTAAGGTTATGTATTAATATGAGACTTCTACAATTTCAGGAAGCAAATGATTATCTTATTAATAATAAATACTCAAAATTTCTTTTAAGAGTTGGTGAAGGCTGTGAAACATTCGATGGCTCCAGGGATAAAATAAAAATTCCTCAAGATTGTTGTATAGCTTCCAATGATATCGAGGATCTTATTGCTTTTGTTTACGATATAGACAAAGACAATTCATCATTTAACCGAACATCATTTGCTCAAAATGCAATCCTGACCCCTAAAAACGTAGATGTCGATTCTATAAATATTAAATTGATTAACAAAATTCCGGGAGATTTAATTACATACATAAGTGCTGATAAAACGATAACCGAGGATGAAGCGACGTTTTATCCCACTGAATTTTTAAACTCTTTAAGTATATCAGGATTACCACCTCACAAACTTTTACTCAAAGTCGGGGTACCTATAATATTAATGCATAACTTAAATTCTGCTTCTGGTTTGAATAATGGGACTAAATTGATTATAACTTCTTTGCTACCAAATATAATTGAGGCGGAATTTGTTTCTGGTAGTTTTCTCAGTACTAAAGTTCTCATTCCTATAATAAATTTAATTCCTACAGATTCTGGCTTGCCATTTTCCTTTAAGCGCCGCCAATTTCCCGTGAGACCTGCTGACAATTAATAAAGCTCAGGGACAAACGTTGAACAAAGTTGGCATCTATTTACCTCATCCTGTTTTTTCACATGGACAGCTATATGTGGCTATATCTCGAGTTTGTTCTCCACATAAATTAAATTATAACCAATGATAAAACAAAGACTACTACCAATGTGGTATATCATGAGGTTATATCCGATTAATCCCGGTTTATACGAATAAGAATGAACATTACTTAGTATGATATTATTTTATAATTTAAACAATTTTATATTATTTAAGCATCCTTTTGTCAGGCCGCTCAATATGCCCTTTTATCTCTGATGAATATTTTGTCTAATTGAAAATTATATCAAAGTACATTTTTAAAATTTAACTAAATGAATATAACAATTTTTAAGGATCCTACTTTTTTAAAAGCTTACCATTTTGTCGGATCCACCATTGCTCTATTATCCCTGCTGATTATTTTGTATAACGCACAAAAAATATACATAGCACATTATTTTTATTATAAATAATATTATATATTATTTTATATCTATTCCAAAAAATCTTCATTTTATTTCAATAATAATGTTTATTTATATTTTTGCCTGATTTCTTTATTTGTCTAGGCTAACCCAACCTTATTCCCTCACATTGCTACAAAACATGATTATTCTATTATTAAAGATAAGCAAAGAAAATAATGACGAATAAACAAACGCCTTACCCGTTCTAGAGTTACTGGTAGACAAAATAATAAATAACTACGCTTGAAATGAACTCATCTGGAGGTTTTTTTTTATCTTATGTTTTATATCTATGTTTATTTTATTTTCACCCAGTTCTCCAAATGATATTTCTATCACCACTATCACAATCCCTATGCCACCTCCACCTATTTTTTAACAAAAATAAACATTTTTATTTATCACTAAATTTTATTATCTCATTCTTTTCTTTCTATCTCTATTATCTATTAACCACTATATCTCAAAACCTTATCACCTTTAATTTATATAATATAATATAATAATTTATACCTTCTTTTTCCCCCCTTTTTTAATCTAATTTTTTAATTACCTTACAATTAATTAACCTTTATCTTAATAACATTACATTTATCATGTTATTTTTTAACTTTTATAATATCATAATAGACTTGATAAGTCCCCCAAAAATTTTATTTGATGATAGCCCTCCAACTTATTAGAAATATGCATCTAATATTGACCCTTCTACCGGTTTTACATTATTTTAATGTTTGTTTAATTTCAACAATAGTATATTTATATTTTTGCCTGATTCCTTTATTTGTCTAGGCTAACCCTAATCCCTCACATTGCTACCAAACATGATGAATCTATTATTAAAGATAAGCAAAGGAAAAAATGGCGATTCAACAAACGCCTTACCCGTTCTAGAGTTACTGGTGGCCAAGATAATAAGGCACTGTGAACTCCTCTGGAGGTTTATTTTGTTTTTTATCTAATGTTTTATATCTATATGTTTATTTTATACACCCAGTTGCCTCCAAATGATATTTCTATCACCACTACCACAATCCCTATGCCACCTCTGCCTAATTTTTAACAAATATAAGCATTTAATTCCACTATCATTCACCTCATTAGGAGTTATTATAAATAATACTTTATCCGATTCCCTGAGGAACTTTCATGAATATTTAGAGAGATGTTCAAACGTGAATGTGTAGTGCAGCCAATTTCATTAAAATTATTAATGGGAAACTATGCGGTAGTTTTGTCATGGCCTTTATAACAATACTTACGACCGTTTTATGGTTGAGTTGACAATGTCGTTCATGATTCTATTTTAGAGGGGTATACCAAAATTGACACTTTGGCAGAAATATCCTTTCGCGTTCTTCTCCTCAGCTTTATCAGGATGCAATGGGTGTTGTACACTGCTTTGGTAATCCGTCATTATTCATTACTTTCACCTATAACCCTAAATGGGATGATATTATACATTAATTTTTTCTTCTGCAGACGACTGCCCAGATTTATTTTGTCGCTTTTTCCATCAAAAATTAAAATGTCATAAAGGATTTGCTCTTATTTTTACCAGACACACAGAGTAATAATTAATCCTCAGCATTTTTTAAAAAAAATACCTAAATTTATATGGCAAGAAAAACAAATTTCTTAAAAAATATATAAATAAATTGCATATAAGTTTCATAAGTATTGAATGGCATTTTTGTAATTTAAATAGATAGCATTTTTTTGTACTTAACAAAAGATATAGATAGCCCTTATCAAATTTTTTGATAAAAGGAGTTAACCCGATTAATTGGTAAATCCGAGATTTCCCCTTCATGTGTTGATAAATTATTTAGAAATTTAACTATCTCCGGGTTTGGGAAATAGTTTTGAAACTTAATATGTGATGGACTGGGCTTGAAAAATATTCCTCAAGATTAATTTTTGCTTGCACCTAACTTGGGAATATCTTATACAAATTATTATGGGCCGGGCTAGGAAAAAATTTTCAAAATTATTATGAGTTAAGCTAGATTTGAGAAATTTTTTTATAAATTATAAGGTCTTGAACGCGTGGAAATTTTTTTCAAATATTATGAGCTTGGACCTGGCTTGAAATTTTTTAATGTTAAATGTTAGTCTTATGTAACCAGTAATATATTTACAAAGAATTTTGGTATTGGGTACAAGCTCATTTAAATATATTTTGACTCAAATAATAGTTTCCACTCTTAGTCCTAATGGGTTGGACTCAATGACATTGCTTGGACTTGACCTAAATGGGGAGGGGGGGATTTAAAAATTATATAAATTGGATATGATTTTTAAATAAAAGGTAACATCTTTCTTAAAAAAACGAATAAAATTCTCATTCTCCGTCACTTTTGACGGGCTATCTACTAGTATAGATAAAAACAAAAATTTTATAAAAAATGATTCTAAAACTTTTAATAGTAAGGGGAATCATAATAATTTTAGGCCAAGTGATATAAATAGCAGAAACTACCAAAACAGTAATTTCCGAAATAACGAGGGTCACTCTAGAAATTTTAGTAATAATCAATCTTCAAACAACTACAATTCAAACAATTTTGGTAGGAACAACACTCGGCAAGATTACAATAACAATTCAAACAATTATGGTAGAGATACTTGGCAAAACAATAATTATAATGGGAGAAACAATTCCTGGTCTTACAACAATCAAAGAAATCAGAGTCAATATAATAATCGATATGGTTATCAATATCAATCCTACAATAACAACAATAATGGAGAAAATAATACGTGGAAAAATTTTAATCAAAATATTAATCAAAGAAAACAATTACAATATAATGACATGAATCAAAGTAGCATCAATTGTAACATGAAGATTGAAGAGATTGTTGAAGAAAAAAATGACCCTACACAAAATAATAATGGTAGTGATTTTAATGTCAACAATTTAACTGAGTTTAAACTTAATGATAATGCGTTCATGACTACTTTAAAAGTAAATGATGCTACTGTTACTATGCAGGTTGATACGGGATCCAAGTTTACGATTATACCTCATGATATGGCTAAACAAATAGGTATTAAAGATCTTAAAAAGTCCACTTCTACAACTCACAGCTTATGATGGAAACTTAATTAAAATTATTGGCGTCACTCAAGTTAAAGTAACCTACGAAGGTATCACCAAACACTTGCAAGCCGTGGTCGTTAAATCTAATAAAAATGCGTTATTGGGACGTATGTGGATTAATGCCTTTAGTAATATTTTAAACAAATTTATAGCAAACATTGATACCAACTATGAAGATGAAATAAAGAAATTAATAAAAGATTGCGAATCTAAACTGACTAAAAAACCGATCAACAAAGGGAATGTCAAGATATATCTACGTAATGACGCCAAACCGAAAATCATACCACCTAGACGGTTACCTTATTCAAAGATAGACGCTGTTACTAGAGAACTTACGAGATGGATAGGAGATGGAGTCATTGAGCCGGTAACAGATGTCCGATGGGCAAGTCCGATAACCGCTGTCTACAAGGATAATGGGAGCGTTAGGGTTTGCGCCGACTTCAAAGACACTGTCAACCCAGCCCTTGAGGACTTCAGATACCCACTTCCAAGAATAAACATCTTATCGCTAAGCTCAAGGAAGAAGAAGTTCACCAAGATAGATTTCAAGGATGCGTTCCTACAAATTCCCATCGACGAAACCTGCAGAGACATATTAACTATATCTACACACAGGGGGTACTACCGGTTTACCAGACTTCCTTTTGGGTTAAAAACTTCATCTGCGATTTTTCAACAAATTATGGATCAAATTTTCAGTGACATGAAAGATGTCGTATTTTATATTGATGATCTACTAATAACGGGAAGTAGTGACGAAGTTCATTTCAACAACATAAAGAAAGTTTTTGAAAGAATACTATTTCATGGCTTAGTGCCTAATTTTGCAAAAAGCTTATTTTTCAAAAAAAAGTCTAAGGTTTTTAGGACACGACATCGACGCCAATGGGATCCACGCCAACCATGACAAGATCGAGGCGATCGTTAAAATGCCGGAACCAAAATCAGCCGCGGAATTGTCAACGTTTCTAGGCATGGCCGGTTACTACAAAAAATTTTTGAACAACTTCGCTGAAATAGCTGATCCTTTATACAAGATTGTCAACAAAGAAAAATGGGAGTGGAATTTAGAACACTCCAAAAGTTTTGATGATCTAAAGACATTGATTAGTCTTCCTCCAGCTACGTACTTTAATCCTGAATTACCCATCGGAATTGCGACTGATGCATCTAAAAGAGGTTTAGGAGCTGTTTTGTTTCACACCGAAAAAGATGGCAAAGAAAAGCCAATAGCTTTTGCCTCGAGAACGTTAGCAAAGTCCGAGATAAATTATACCAACATTGAGCCTGAAGCTCTGGCCATTATGTTTGCTATCAAGAGATTTCAAGAATACTTGATAGGGACTAAGTTCACTATTGTAACGGATCACAAGCCGCTAATCCATATTTTCACCAAAGGGCTCAAAGATAATAGCACCATGTCATTAAGGTTACAGAAGTGGAGTATAATTTTGGGGGGTTACGACTTTAACATCAGATATAAAGCTGGTAAATACAATGTTGTTCCCGATTGCCTCTCAAGACTACCACAAGTAATTGATGATGACGTTATTGATGATATCGCAATTATAAATGACTTTGGCGATATACCTCTGAGTTTTGACCAAATACGCGATCAAACTTCTAAAGATTCTGAACTATCTCAAGTTATGAATGACATAAGAAATAATGTGCCTATCCAAAATAAAATTTATGAAAATATTGAATACGAACTAAGTATCATTAAAGATTGTCTGTACAAAAGCGACAAAATAATAATTCCATCAAGTCTGAGAAAGAACATACTGAAGGCGTTACACGTAGGTCATTTGGGAGCAGAAAATTAAATCCTTAGCCAAAGATCGTATGTGGTGGTCTGGTATGGTCAACGAC